AAGAGTTTCAACAGTAGCTTCTACTAAACATTTTTGAGAGTTTTTTTCCATTGGACTTGGAATACTTGACTATTTTCTAGTAATGGAGGACTTAATTCCATGTAGTAAGGATTCATTACACAGGATGCCCTTTAAAAATGACTTCCCTATCTATTGAAATTTTCTCTCTTGCCCGCATTGTGTAAGGACCGGAGGCCAGATCAAGTGCATATGTTCTCCCAGTTGGTGGGGTTTCTCTTTGTTTTGGTTATTGTCTCTTTTGCTGGGTGGAAGCTCTTCAATTTGATGTAGTCCCAGCTGTTTATCTTTGCCTTCACTATCACTGCTTTCGGTGATGATTCTTTAAAGATACTACTGAGGGACCTCCCCTGGTGTTGAAGTGGTTGAGCACTCGGCTGCGAAGCAGCCCCAGCCTCTGCAGCACTGGTTAGATCCCCGGCTGCTGGCGAGAGGCCCACATGGCAGGCAGACCTCTCCTTCCGCCCACTGCTCCCCTCAGCAGTGTACTTCGTCGGTCTGCCTGCTCTGCTCCCCGCTCTGGCTCTGGTGAATTCGCTCACCCTCCCAGGCTTCTGACTCTACCCAGTGCTTGTATAAATAAATAAATAAATCTTTAAAAAATAAAATAAAATAAAGATACTACTGAGGTGTGGTGTTTTGCCCATATTTCCTTCTATATATTTTATGGCTTCAGGTCTTATGTCTAGTTCTTTAATCTATTTTGAGTTGGTTTTGTGTATGGTGTGAGGTAGTGGTCAAGCTTCATTCTTTTGCATGTAGCCACCCAGTTTTCCCAGCACCATTTAATTATGTTGACCCATGCAATGCAATATTATATAGCAATTCAAAATGATATATAGGCACATAGGTATTGCTACTGGATGATGTTGGAAATGTGAATGAGGAAAGCAAAGTGCAAAATATTCGTATATTTAGAAACGTTTGTGCATAGGAAGAAGAAAAAAGTCTTAACAATATTTATATTTCTGCGGTAGACTAAGGATGATTTAATTTTTCTTCTGTCAAAATTAAAAAAAAAAAAAAAGGCTTGAAGACCCTATTCCGGGAGAGGCGCGCGGGCTTATGGGAAACGTCCCGTGAGCATTTTGGCGCCAACTCCGGAGCCGCTCAGGCCTTCTGCGCATGTGCGCTGTGGTTCCTGGGCGCAGGGTTCAGGGGCCGCGGGGCCTGCGGAGAAGGTTCTGGAGCCTTCTGCGGCTGGAGGCCCAGGCCAGGGCACCCGCGAGGAGCGCGCTGGGGCGGGCAGCCGGGAAGCCCCGCCGGGAGGGCGGTGGAGGAGGACGCAGTTTGCTCCTGGCCCCGGACTCCTGCCCGTCTCACCAGGGGAGAGGCGGCGCGGCCGGCGCGGGGACCAGCGACGCCTCATTGCTGGTCTCCGAGGGGGAGGGTCGTGCAGGCTCCGGATGGGCTCTGGACGAAACTGACCCGGTGCAGGCCGGTGAGTGCTTCTCTCTCCCCAGGACGTCGTTTGCCGCTGCGGGGTTCGCGGAATCCCGCCGCCATCTGTGGCCAGTGGCCAGCGGCCATTTTCACGGGAAACAGCCTGGGGAGGCGCCAGGATCACCCCAAGTGCAGGCCGCGCGGGGCAGGAGCGAGGACGGATGCCCTTCTAGCGCTCTGCCCGTGGGCAGGTGGGCCTGAGCCGCCGCGGCCCTTGGCGGCCTCCTGGCCTGAGCCTGCAACAGAAGTGGACGAGGCATTAGGTTGGGGGGATCTTCTTTCTAAAGACCCTGCGGGCATGGCACATAAACAGGCTGGACTGCACCCCACGAGCCCCTCCTGCCCTGCCTGTGCCCTCAGAAGCACGCTTTGCATTTACAGAAGGCCCAGCTTATTATGGTCAAGGTGACAGGACGATCGAGAGCTTTAGATCTTGGTTGAAGATTTTAACTAAAAAGATTTTAAACATAGACTTTTAATCAATGTTTTGCGTGCTTGCAAAGAGAGCAGTCTTAAGACGCACCTAGCGGCTCACTTTAGAGAAGTCTCAAGGAATTAGCTGAGGAAAACAGCTAGACAAATTGACAACCATTCAGGAAAGGCTTAACCTGTTCGAGGCTGTAGATCTGAAAGGCATGTGGCACTCCTGCTACATCACCGGCAACCAGAGCTCTGTGGATCTTCTTGAGACCTTTGTCTTGGATGTTGCCATACCTAAGCTGCCTTGAGTCAGTACGGTTACTGAAGCTTTCCTTTGAGAATGGAGGAGGAGCCCCAGAAAGACCAGCCAAGAGAACCTCTTCATGGCACAACCCAGGACTTCAGAGAGGCCTCCCCTCTTCCTGGGTGGTTTGCTGCCTCTAACACCCAAAACTGGCAGTGCTAGAGGAATCAACTACTGATTCAAGAGCCAGAGATCTCGCCACAACCCACCAGCCGCCAAGCTCCAGGAGGTTTGGAAACTTTCACTTGGGATAGCCAGGGGTTGCGAAGCAGTGCCAGTAAACAGCAATGTGTGAAAGTGTGTATGAGTTCTTTGCATATCTTGGATATCAGCTCAGGCTGCCCAGAGTGCATGTTTGAGACCATGGAGTTCATATCTCAGCCACAGCTTGCTTGTGGGCACTCCTGAATATTCTTGAAGCCATGTGGAGGTGGGTACTCGCATCTAACAGTTGGTAACAGCTTGATAGTGCTGAGACTTAGCCCCTGTGCCGCCAGGGAGGCACCCCTCCCCATCTAACAGTTGGGTAGCCACCTGTATGTGGCTGAAGAAGTGTTCACTTGAAGAAGTGTTCATTTAGCTCTTCTACCCATTTTTGTTTAGGGTTATTTATTTTCTTATGGTTAAGTTGCATGTATTCTTTGTATATCTTGGCTATATCTGCCCTTTGTCAAACACGTTATGAGCAAATATTTTCTCCAATCTTTTATCTATATCATTTTATTGGATTATTAATCTTGTTTCATAGACGCTTTAAAAACTTTGTCTTCTGTAGCTTTGAAAATATCTTCTTTTTTGCATCACTCTTTTATTATTTCTTGCAACTTTTAATTTTTTTACTGACTTTTTTTTTTTACTTTTTACATCACTGTTTATTTTTAAATAATATTTGCTTCCCCCCACCCCTTCTGGCGTAGTCCCCGTAGAGTTTCCTTCACCAGTGCACCCATGCACCATCACCACAGTCCCCTCCCTCCTGATCCCTCTACCTCCTCGTCCCCTGAAGTATGTCTCTGATTATAATTGTCTGTTTTTGCTTTGTTGTGTTTTGTACTGTTGTTACTTTTTCACCCTGATGTCTCATTTGCTTCCTGATATAAGTGAAACCAGCCGATATTTTTCTTTTTCCTTTTGGCTTATTTCACTGAGCATTATTCCTTCTAGCTCCATCCATGTTGCTGTGAATGGCATGAGTTTATCTTTTTTTTGATTGCTGAGTAATATTCCATTGTGTATATATGCCACATCTTGATCTAGTCATCTATTTTTGGTCATTTGTGTTGTTTCCAGGTTTTCCCTATTGTACATAGTGCTGTAATAAACATAGGTGTACAGGTGTTCTTTTGAATCAGTGTGTTTGTGTCCTTTGAGTAGATCCCTAGGAGTGGAATTGCTGGGTCATATGGTAGCTCTATTTTTTGTAGACTGAGGAACCGCCAGACAGCTTTCCATAGTGGTTGGACCCGTTTGCACTCCCACCAGCAATGTAGGAGAGTTCCTTTTTCACCACATCCTCATTTGTTGTTTGCTTGTTTTTTGATTTGTGCCATTCTAACTGGTGTAAACTGGTATATCTTTATGTGGTTTTGATTTGCATTTCCGTGATTATAAGGGTGTTGAACATTTTTTCACATGCTGTTGGCCATTTGCATTTCCTGTTTGGAGAATGTCTTTTAAGTTCTTCTGCCATTTGTTGACTGGATTGTTATTTTATTTTTTTGTTGAGTCATGTGAGTCCTTTGTATATCTTTGTGATCAGTCGCTAATCACTTGAATGGAGAAAAGATTTTTTTCCCAGTAAGTGGGGTGTCTCTCTGTCATGGATAATGTCTCTTTGGCTGTACAGAAGCTTTTCAGTTTGATGTAATCCCAGATGTTTATCTTTCCTTGACTTTCTTGCTTTGGGTGATGAGTCTTTAAAGATGTTACTGTGTTGTATTTTTTTTTTGAGTTTGAATTTTTTTTAATTAATATTTTATTTATACAATTCTTACATCATTTTTCATTATTGCACAATGTATGCATTTTCATTTTGGTTATATTCCCATACAAATGCA